GGATTATTTATCGAATCTGACATCGAATTCGTTATTTATGGGTCTTAATTAGTATCAATGAATTTTTTGGGATTTTTAGGTCAATCAGGAGAAAAAAATTTTTCGACCAGTATAAGCCTACTGCATCGCGTGAACCGCTGATTTTGAAAATCTAGGAAAAGGATTATTCATCGAATCTGACATCAAATTCGTTCTTTATGGGTCTGAATTAGTGTCTATGAATTTTTTGGGATTTTTAGGTCAATCAGAAAAAAAAAAATTTTCGACCAGTATAAGCCTACTGCATCGCGTGAACCGCTGATTTTGAAAATCTAGGGAAACGATTATTTCTCGAATCTGACATCAAATTCGTTGTTTATGGGTCTGAATTAGTGTCAATCAATTTTTAGGGATTTTTAGGTCAATCAGGAAAAAACATTTTTTCGACCAGTATAAGCCTACTGCATCGCGTGAACCGCTGATTTTGAAAATCTAGGGAAAGGATTATTTATCGAATCTGACATCAAATTCGTTCTTTATGGGTCTGAATTAGTGTCTATGAATTTCTTGGGATTTTTAGATCAATCAGGAAAAAAAAATTTTTCTACCAGTATAAGCCTACTGCATCGCGTGAACCGCTGATTTTGAAAATCTAGGGAAAGGATTATTTCTCGAATCTGACATCAAATTCGTTCTTTATGGGTCTGAATTAGTGTCTATGAATTTTTTGGGATTTTTAGGTCAATCAGGAAAAAAAAATTTTTCGACCAGTATAAGCCTACTGCATCGCGTGAACTGCTGATTTTGAAAATCTAGGGAAACGATTATTTCTCGAATCTGACATCAAATTCGTTCTTTATGGGTCTGAATTAGTGTCAATCAATTTTTAGGGATTTTTAGGTCAATCAGGAAAAAACATTTTTTCGACAAGTATAAGCCTACTGCATCGCGTGAACCGCTGATTTTGAAAATCTAGGGAAAGGATTATTTATCGAATCTGACATCAAATTCGTTCTTTATGGGTCTGAATTAGTATCAATGACTTTTTTGGGATTTTTAAATCAATCAGGAAAAAAAATTTTTCGACCAGTATAAGCCTACTGCATCGCGTGAACCGCTGATTTTGAAAATCTAGGGAAAGGATTATTTCTCGAATCTGACATCAAATTCGTTCTTTATGGGTCTGAATTAGTGTCTATGAATTTTTTGGGATTTTTAGGTCAATCAGGAAAAAAAAATTTTTCTACCAGTATAAGCCTACTGCATCGCGTGAACCGCTGATTTTGAAAATCTAGGGAAAGGATTATTTCTCGAATCTGACATCAAATTCGTTCTTTATGGGTCTGAATTAGTGTCTATGAATTTTTTGGGATTTTTAGGTCAATCAGGAAAAAAAATTTTTTCGACCAGTATAAGCCTACTGCATCGCGTGAACCGCTGATTTTGAAAATCTAGGGAAAGGATTATTTATCGAATCTGACATCAAATTCGTTCTTTATGGGTCTGAATTAGTGTCTATGAATTTTTTTGGATTTTTAGGTCAGTCAGGAAAAAAAATTTTTTCGACCAGTATAAGCCTGCTACTGCATCGCGTGAACCGCTGATTTTGAAAATCTAGGGAAAAGATTATTCATCGAATCTGACATCAAATTCGTTCTTTATGGGTCTGAATTAGTGTCTATGAATTTTTTTGGATTTTTAGGTCAGTCAGGAAAAAAAATTTTTCGACCAGTATAAGCCTGCTACTGCATCGCGTGAACCGCTGGTTTTGAAAATCTAGGAAAAGGATTATTTATCGAATCTGACATCAAATTCGTTCTTTATGGGTCTGAATTAGTGTCTATGAATTTTTTGGGATTTTTAGGTCAATCAGAAAAAAAAATTTTTTCGACCAGTATAAGCCTACTGCATCGCGTGAACCGCTGATTTTGAAAATCTAGGGAAACGATTATTTCTCGAATCTGACATCAAATTCGTTGTTTATGGGTCTGAATTAGTGTCAATCAATTTTTAGGGATTTTTAGGTCAATCAGGAAAAAACATTTTTTCGACCAGTATAAGCCTACTGCATCGCGTGAACCGCTGATTTTGAAAATCTAGGGAAAGGATTATTTATCGAATCTGACATCAAATTCGTTCTTTATGGGTCTGAATTAGTGTCTATGAATTTTTTTGGATTTTTAGGTCAATCAGGAAAAAAAAAATTTTTCGACCAGTATAAGCCTACTGCATCGCGTGAACCGCTGATTTTGAAAATCTAGGAAAAGGATTATTCATCGAATCTGACATCAAATTCGTTCTTTATGGGTCTGAATTAGTGTCTATGAATTTTTTGGGATTTTTAGGTCAATCAGAAAAAAAAATTTTTTCGACCAGTATAAGCCTACTGCATCGCGTGAACCGCTGATTTTGAAAATCTAGGGAAACGATTATTTCTCGAATCTGACATCAAATTCGTTGTTTATGGGTCTGAATTAGTGTCAATCAATTTTTAGGGATTTTTAGGTCAATCAGGAAAAAACATTTTTTCGACCAGTATAAGCCTACTGCATCGCGTGAACCGCTGATTTTGAAAATCTAGGGAAAGGATTATTTATCGAATCTGACATCAAATTCGTTCTTTATGGGTCTGAATTAGTGTCTATGAATTTTTTTGGATTTTTAGGTCAGTCAGGAAAAAAAAATTTTTCGACCAGTATAAGCCTGCTACTGCATCGCGTGAACCGCTGATTTTGAAAATCTAGGAAAAGGATTATTTATCGAATCTGACATCAAATTCGTTCTTCATGGGTCTGAATTAGTGTCTATGAATTTTTTGGGATTCTTAGGTCGATCAGGAAAAAAAATTTTTTCGACCAGTATAAGCCTCTACTGCATCGCGTGAACCGCTGATTTTGAAAATCTAGGAAAAGGATTATTTATCGAATCTGACATCAAATTCGTTCTTTATGGGTCTGAATTAGTGTCTATGAATTTTTTGGGATTTTTAGATCAATCAGGAAAAAACATTTTTTCGACCAGTATAAGCCTACTGCATCGCGTGATCCGCTGATTTTGAAATTCTAGGGAAAGGATTATTTCTCGAATCTGACATCAAATTCGTTGTTTATGGGTCTGAATTAGTGTCTATGAATTTTTTGGGATTTTTAGATCAATCAGGAAAAAACATTTTTTCGACCAGTATAAGCCTACTGCATCGCGTGATCCGCTGATTTTGAAAATCTAGGGAAAGGATTATTTATCGAATCTGACATCAAATTCGTTCTTTATGGGTCTGAATTAGTACCAATGAATTTTTTGGGATTTTTAGGTCAATCAGAAGAAAAAAATTTTTCGACCAGTATAAGCCTACTGCATCGCGTGAACCGCTGATTTTGAAAATCTAGGAAAAGGATTATTTATCGAATCTGACATCAAATTCGTTCTTAATGGGTCTGAATTAGTGTCTATGAATTTTTTGGGATTTTTAGATCAATCAGGAAATCAAATTTTTTCGACCAGTATAAGCCTACTGCATTGCGTGATCCGCTGATTTTGAAAATCTAGGGAAAGGATTATTTATCGAATCTGACATCAAATTCGTTCTTTATGGGTCTGAATTAGTATCTATGAATTTTTTGGGATTTTTAGGTCAATCAGGAGAAAAAAATTTTTCGACCAGTATAAGCCTACTGCATCGCGTGAACCGCTGATTTTGAAAATCTAGGAAAAGGATTATTTATCGAATCTGACATCAAATTCGTTCTTTATGGGTCTGAATTAGTGTCTATGAATTTTTTGGGATTTTTAGGTCAACCAGGAAAAAAAAATTTTTCGACCAGTATAAGCCTACTGCATCGCGTGAACCGCTGATTTTGAAAATGTAGGAAAAGGGTTCTTTCTTGAATCTGATATCGAATTAGTTCTTTATGGGTCTGAATTAGTGTCAATGAATTTTTTGAGATTTTTAGGTCAATCAGGAAAAAAAATTTTTTCGACCAGTATAAGCCTATACTGCATCGCGTGAACCGCTGATTTTGAAAATCTAGGGAAAGGATTATTTCTCGAATCTGACATCAAATTCGTTCTTTATGGGTCTGAATTAGTGTCAATGAATTTTTTGGGATTTTTAGGTCAATCAGGAAAAAAATTTTTTTCGACCAGTATAATATAGCCTACTGCATCGCGTGAACCGCTGATTTTGAAAATCTAGGGAAAGGATTATTTCTCGAATCTGACATCAAATTCGTTCTTAATGGGTCTGAATTAGTGTCTATGAATTTTTTGGCATTTTTAGGTCAATCAGGAAAAACAATTTTTTCGACCAGTATAATTCCAAGTTTCGATATTTAATCCTTGGATATTGTTTTTTAATTAAGGAGGTATCCATGAGAGGTATCTACTCTTACTCTACCATAATTTGGCCTTGTGTAAGGCATCTCACATCCTCACATGTACCATAATGGTACGCATTTTACACCATAATTTGAGCATGAAGAGCAATGACTATATTTGCTAGTTAATTTTTGGCAGGATTTAAAAACTACTACAATATATTAATGTCGAAGAACATAGCTTGCGCGTATCATAATTTGAGATTGTACCATAATTTCAAGCGTGCTTTTGGTACCATAATCGGACCCTACCATAATCGTGAATCCAAAGGTTGGCATCAACGTACCACTCTTTACTTATTATGTTATACCATCACAAGGAGTGAACACCGAATTTGAATAAGTACCTACTTCTTGTTGGAGATTTCACTAATATGCATGCACTTGCACCTGATGCACCAAACAACGAAAAACGTAACGTAAATCTCAAAAAAACTCAAATGGGAAGCATTATTTCAAAAAATCTCTCACACAGACAACAGTTACAAACACTGACAAAATCACAGAACATTTCCGACTTTCCGCTTCTCATTCATTAATAATTGACAAAGTAAAAAGAAGAGATAAAGGAGCAACAAATTCAAACAAACATTACAAAAAATACTTGAAGAAGAAGAATTTTCGAAAATCAGAAGAAGAACTGACAAATGTCAAGGCAAGCCGCAAGGGTTTGTTTATTTTGGTTCTAGGAAAGTTCTAGGTTATGTCATGTTCGTTTTCTGACAGTTTTTCGGTTCAATTATTTGCCCTAAACAGAAAATATTGAATATTTAAAGATGTCTCATAGCCTCCACGGCACATTCGTGTCTGAAAAAATCAACAAAATTCGCTGGAGGCCAGACGAATTCAACAATTCACATTTCTTCATAACCGGTAGTGTAGATAACGACCAAAACAATGTGAAACTCTGGGATTTCTATGAGAACGAGGAAGAGGATGACATATATCCATTCTTAGTATCCACCTTCCCTTATTGTGGAGATGTAACAGAAGCTAAGGTAGGTTTTTCAGTTTTTCTAAAACAGCCTTTGTAGCATTTTCTGTCCCCAGTTTCTAAATGCAGACTACTTTGTAACGTCTTCATCCAGTGGATCTGCACATCTGATACAAATAGTTCCTGCTTACACAGAGAGCATCTCCTTGAAGAACACCATAACTTGGGAAAAAGGACATCATTTCAAAAATGGAGACCCCAGCTCTTGTACAGGATTAGCTGTATATGATAATGATATCATCACCATTGGTGAAGATGGTTGTATAAATTTGTTGAATGCGAAAGCACCCAAAGTTCTTAGGAGGATAGGTAAACATTGAACAAAAAACAAATTGCTGGTGGAACACAATCTCCACATCCACAATCCCCTGACTTTTCAGATGATGCTGATAGTTGTTCCATTCACTGTGTGATTTTCCTGAAGCACAATGAGATATTGACCAGTAATCTAAGAGGGCAGATGAAAATCTGGGATTTGAGGTCTCAGAATAATGTAGCCAGTAGCACCTTTATGATAAGTGGGGACCAAGTGACTCCAACTTGTCTCACTTACCATCCCACGCAGAGGCATTTAGTTGTAACTGGTGATGATTTAGGTGAGAATTCATTTAAAATATTGAATAATACAGTACAAAACACAGCAGTTAGAGGTGAAGGTGAAAGCATCCTTTATAATAATAATATGGGAGTTGTTTTTACCTATTATTATATATTACCTACTTAATATGGTTGAATAATTTCTGTATATGTACCTGAATTCCTTCCAACACTTTCATGAAAGAAATTAAAGTCCTCCTAATTTTTTATGAGGTGAAAAAACATCAAGATCTAAAATTTTTGAAAAATGGTTGTTGGTGACTGAATTTTTGGTATGTTGTAGACCTTTATTTATAGATTTTGATGATCTGATTGAGAGGTCTTTATAAATTAACTAGCCGACCCTGGAAACGTTGTTTTGCCATAAACATTATTTCTAGAAAATATTTTTTTAATAAATATTTATCAACAAACTTATTATTTTATTTTCTTCTTCTTTTTAGTTTGGCCTTGAGATTGGTTATCTATGAAAGCGTGTTTGATTATGGTTTTCAAACTACTATTATTTATTACAAAGTTCGATCGCCATATTGGATTTGCCATCTTGAATTTCCCAATTTTTGACGAAGAATCATAATCTCCGACCCCAAAAACCCCCAGATACAAATTTTGAATGGAATCGGATCATAGTTACAAAGTTCGTCCGCCATATATTGGATCCGCCATCATGAATTTCCCAATTTTGACGAAAGAATCATAATTTTCGATCTAGAAAACCTATTGAAACCCTTTTTGAATAGAATCGGATCATAATCACAAAATCCGACATCTCAATTTCCAGGAAAGAATGATAATCTGTGATCCCAAAAACCTCCAGATACCAATTTTGAATAGAATCGAATCATAATTACAAAACTTCGAAAATTCCTTCTTTTTTCTTCATAGGCGTCACCCAACTTTTAAAACTTTATATAACTTTATATACAATGTGATACCAAGAAATATGATCATTGTTAGTCACATAGATACGAAGTGTTTCTTATAATTTCATTCAGTTTTGCGAATGTTGTGTAAGTAAATATTGTGTCATGAACGTGTGTCAGTATTTTGAAATTGTATAAAAATCAGTTAAGAGCCTACTCTTCCGCTTCCAAATAAGCTGAGCGAGATAAATCTCTCACATTCATCCTTCGAGCCGGATGAAGAATGAATAAACATTTTCACATTGGTCCTTCGAGCCGGATGAATGAATCAAAACGTCAATTTCCGTTATTCGCTCAGGCGCCCTAACCACCTGGGATCTGCGCAACAGCACCTACCCCGTGAACGTGCTCGATGCTCACGACGGCGGCGTCGCCGAGGTGCTCTTCGACGCCGATCGGCCCGACCGGCTGTTCAGCTGCAGCGGCGCCGGTCAGCTGTGGCGCTGGGGGACGAGGGGGGCGGGGGGTAATGCCACCCCCGACGTCTGGCTGGCGCCCGACAACGTCAAGGTGCGTATGTTCACTGTTCACTACTACATAGTTTTAATCTTAGTATTTGGAGTACCGACAGCAGCGCCTCTACCGCGTCCAATTGAATTTTCAAATCATCCAGGAAACCATTGAAATACCCTTATAAAATTTCAATCCAATCGATCCAGCCGTTAAGAACTTATGTGAAGAAGATAATTATATAATTACCCGATGTCCTACTATCCGATTTCCCGTTGGAATGAAGCATTTTCGCATTGAAATGAAGCATTTTCCCGCGGCAAAAAGTAGCCTATGTTCATTAGGAATAATGTCGGCTTCTAATGGTAAAATAATTTTTAAAATCGGTGCAGTAGTTTCGGAGCCTATTCGCGATAGATAATAAGCGTACGCCACCTATCGGAGTTATTGAAAGTTGTCAAAGCGGTTCGTTTACTTTGTTCTCATTGGTTCACCTTTCTTTTTTGTTTGTGCTCATTGGTCACATCATCAAAACAAACCACTAAGAAGTATTCAAGTTGTTGCCGGCAGGTGGAGCGACGCGTATTTTCTATCGTGAATTCAATACAAACAAACAAATCTTTCATCTTTATAATATTAGTATAGATTGATTGATGAAATTATTAATCCTTTGGAAGTAATTCACTGCTAACAACCCTGATGCTAACCTAAAATTGATGACATAATTTATTTTCATTTCTATTAAGGGCAAGCTGGACGTGTTCGCGCTGATGCCAACTCTGCACCAGCCCATCAACTCTTTGGATTTGAACAGGAACAGGGTAATTTGCGGGTGCGATAACGAAGCTATTTATTTAATCAATGGGGTTGATATGTAATAAGCGTACCATTTTTCTTTTTTAATAAACATTTTTTTATATATTCAGCTGAATCAATCATTATTTACTCCTCGTTCTCACATCAGCTCTTCTCCAGATAAATACTTCTTTCGTTGGCTCAACTTGTATGTTTTTTCAAATCATCAGAGACTAATAATATTCCAAGTTTGGAGAGAAATCAAGTACATGATTAGTTGATCAAAACATATATTTCAAAGTGTTTGAGCATAAATATAAGGCACATCAGGTATACTAATGATAATATATAATATAATTATATGTATAAATAAAATATAAATAGCTTGTTTACTTATGATAATTAGGACACAATATTGCCATGAAGATTTTGAGTATTCTTTTTTATGTAAATTGTGGTTTGGACCTCTGAAAATCACAACTATTATATTCTGAGCATACTTATATATACATCCATATAAGCAATCATGGAAAAGAATTGCAAAGTTGTTCAAAATAGAGGTCACTGGCTCACTGAAATTATCGCCGATAAAGACCTACTAGATTTTCATTAGGAACAACAATGGCTAAACAACAAACAAGGACGAGGAAGCCATCAAACTAGCTGAAAATTCAGAAGTACTTTGTCAAGTCTGTACAGTTGTCAACGTTTGACTTTCGAGTTTCATCACAAGAGTTTTTTATCAAATCAAGAATGCTTCTCGCGTCATCTCTCTCAAACCTTGTCGGCCACGATCGTGATGGCCAACCTCTTCTCGGGCCAAGAGAACGTCTTTGGCAGCGCCAACGCTTCTGGATTGGCCAGCGCCTGGAAGGTGACCGCCATGTCCTGCGCTAGATCGTCGGCGACGAGCACCTGCAGCCAGGCGCCCTGCGCTACAAAGGGCCTTTCCTGGTCCACCAACGTGCCGGTGACTGAGCGCGCCACCAGAGTGACAGCTGTGTCACCAAGGACCGACTTGAAAGTGAAATGGCGGCCGTGACGCACCCTGCCTCTGCAAGAGGCATCTATTTTATTCTGTGCCGTTATTTGAGGTGTAATCAACATTTTGGTCCTTCGAGCCGGATCTGTTGTTCAACCGCCATGAGTTCTAGGCACAGTTGATTAAGGCTAGCCTTCTTTGAGACTATTGTTTGCCTCTCAGGTCTTTCATCATACCTGGCATTTTCATTCCAAGCACGTGGTATTATTATTTCCGAGCTGCACATGGTTTTTGTTGCAGCTTCAGAGCTTTCCAGCAAACCTGTACTGTTGGAGTCTTGAGGCACTCCAGTTGAAGCTACATTACCAACCACTGTCCCGGAATACCTCTGTGGTGGTATTTCCTTGGTGCACCTATTGCTATGTTGTATAGCTTCCTTACCGGTATTGGCAGTCGATCCGGCTCGAAGGACCAAATGTTAATTACAACGCAAATAACGGTCAAATGTGACAGTTTGTTTGACAGGTGATATTTGCGTTTGCGAGTTTGAAGTTTGAACTTCAACTTGAACCTTGAAGTGCAAACTTCAAGTTCAAAGAGTTTTTCATTTGATTGGATGCATTAGCAATATGTATATTTTAATAACAAAAAATACCTTATTGCCAGAGGAAGTAAACTACCAGCTTCCAGATTGAAAATGAGATGCACTCCTTCTAAATGCTTCACATGCATCAATTCTGCAGACTCCAATATACTACGGCTTGCTAAAAAAAAGATACATCATTTATCAAACCCCAATAAATATTTTTGGTAATTTTGTCATTTATTTCCCAAACATTTCTCTCAGTACAAATAGTTTTTGTAAGCTATTTGTGCAGAAAACTGTGTTTTTGAAGACAAACCACAAAGAACAAGATTATTATACCAAAAGATCCATGTTGCATTGATGATTTCATCCCAAGATCGTCATGATCATCGCTTTTTTCATGCAACTGCATGATGTCCAGTTTGGAAGGATCCTGCTCTGCCCAAGAACACCTAGCACTGACTCCACTAAGATTGGATCCTTCCATTTCAAAACCTGTTTCCACTTGTTCTTGGGCATTAAGGTCCAGTTCAAAGATACTCTCTCCTCTTCTCATGTCTGTCAAGTGCCAAGGTCCTCCAGCCCTAAAGAAAAAAATAAGTAATATAGGTTGAAAACTTGAAAATATGTTGACTAGTGTTGAATTTACGATGGTATCCTTGAGATTATATTCAGTATGCCAGCTCCATTCCACTGCTGGACAGCTTTCAGTTCCTCTGCACATATCCCCACAATTTGTATGAAATCCACAGTACCATAAGGTGTCTGAGCAGCCTTCAATTGCAAATCAGTTGTCATCAGCATGTGTTGGATTCGAGATTCACTATTGTCCAGGGCACAGTGCCATGAAACATGGTCACCTGCACACAAAGTATTGCCTAAAAATGAGAAACTACTTGAAACGAATTTGGTTCACATATTTTTAATACTCCTACCTGACTGAAATACATATTTAGCTAAAGATTGCATAAGGGTGGCAGGCCAGGTGGGTGGAGCAGTTTCAGTAGGCTCTCTTTTGAGTCTAAATGTCAATTCAAAACCAAATCCTGATACACTTTCAGGGCCTGATATGTCATGTACCCTACCATCACCATGCAAATCTGATAAACCAAAACTGAAAAGAAAGTTATTCATTTATTTATTTATTTATTAAATCAAGCAAAAAATATACAGATTTTCATTAAATATTAATTACATATATATATTTCAAATTGTTTCTCTTTCATGTAGGTTAGTGACCTGTGTGGGAAAGATAAAAATTATTTTTTTACCAAGGAAATAATCAAATTAAATATAAACAATCAAGATACATAAAAAACATGAATGTAATATGGGAAAAGAGTTGATTAAGGAAGATCAACAATTTTTTTGCATTTTCTATAAACCAGTCTTTAACATTTTTTTGTAAGTTATAATATTCAGACTTTTTATTTTTGATGGGATTTTATAAAAAAATTTAGATCCAATAAAACTAGAATGTTGTTCTGAAATTTTGAGCTTATGTTTTTCCAGTTGCACATTGTTTTTATTGGTTCTTGTATCATAACTACATACAATCACTGATACTTTATACATATAGAATAATTGTCTAACTTTGAATATGTTATTTTCTATACATAATAAGGCCAATGGATAATCAAATGATTTATGAAATATTATTTTCAAAACATATTTTTGAATACATAATGAAGATTTTAGATGAGTCTTACACCACCCCATCCAAATATTCCATATGAATATACCTAGATTGGAAGGGAGTATCATAAAAAATAATAATTAAATGTCTACTGACAATATTTTGTGAAAGTCTTTGGAAGAGTACTTCTGGGTTTCTTTTTGATAAACTAAATTTATTTATAGACAATACCTATAGAGATATAAAAAAAATTGATAATATTAACAATAAATGAAACTATCATGAAGTTCTGGAACATGATAATTCTAGTTATGATCAATGTATATAACAAGATATTAGATTGAATGTCCTTTATATATTTTATTAGTACAGGAACAAATTATTGGTATCAGTCAATTCTGTTGGTTGTGTATCTTCATAACAGGAAAAAGTGATGAATTTAGTTTTATTCAAATTTAGAGTCAACAAAACAGATTAATATCATCTATTATTTCATAGGAGGAAGCATACCTTATGTAATGCCAATGAGGAGGAATGTTTTCCTCTGGAATTCCAGGATTTGCATACATGGAAATGTAATCCAAAGGATCTGGACCACCCAACCTAGAAAACAACCCAAATCATCCAAATATCCAGCTTGATATAGAGAATAATGTTTTATTTCCCTACCAGTATTTTAGTAGGGCTGTGACTTGAAGAGGATTGGCCTGATCAGGGTAGATTTTCCTGCACAAGGTGTACAAGCTTTCCAGCCCTGCTGGGGTGGGAGGCAGGATGTTCATTGGGGGCCCATGAGGAAGACCGACTGCTTCGTCCATCGCCGAAAACTATTTTTAGCACCACTTTCACACCCTCACTTCCTGTATCCGATTTGGAACTTCCAAGTATCCAGATTTGTTAGCTATAACACAAATTCATCACTTTTGCTCTTCATGAACAAAACTGTGGAACATTCACAACATTATAGTTTATTTTTGTATTTATACTAAGAGCATTATGAACTATAACTATAACTTATAGTAGACAAATTAATATTTGATTTGTTGAAAGAAAATTTGCTTTTCCTCAGAAATTCTTTACAGCACCAAACGACAAAAACAGCGACATGGAACATGGACATTGACTTTTATTACGACTTACGACTAAGGTTACGACTATAGGTCGCGTGCACGAAGACCGACCCTGGAGGCAAAATATTGAAACACAACCTCATTCTTCTGTGAATTATTGAAACACAACCTCACTTTTTTATTTGGTTACAGAGGAATCAAAAGGTTGAAATAGTTTTTCACAATATTTTGGCATACGAATCGTGTTTCTTGCGTTATTCATTAATTCAAGCATGCCTTCGCATTGTGCTGTTGTACAATGCACAAAAAATGCAGCAAGAGACTAGGGAATATGATTTTTCAGGTAAATAGTAATCTCACATAGTTATCATTATGAAATGTTGGCATTCCTTATTAAAATTCCTTCTGCCTTCTGCCACTTCTGCAATACAAGCTAATGCTGCTAATAGATTGAAAATGTCTACAACACACACGATCGTCAGCATGTCAGACCAGTCCTACCGATTGATTGCATGAATCCAATCTTCTTGCATTATTCTAGACATTTCAGGTATATTTCTATTAGCTGATCCTATTGCAGAAGGAATTCCGATGAGAAATCAGAGAAATAACCAAATTTCAAAAATGAAAACTATGTGAGTGACTATAGTAGGTAGGTACTTACTTTTGAATCATAATGTACCATCCGGATTTCTTCATCTTCCGCTGCAGTTTTTGTGCATTTTACAACAGCACAATGTGATGGCATTAGCGAATTGATGAATAGCGGAAAAATACGATTCATATGCCAAAATAATTGTGGAAAACTATTTCGATCACAAATATGTTTTGCCTCCAGGGTCGGTCATCTGACAGTTCTTGCACGCGACCTATACGACATAACCTAACCTAAAATCCAACCAATCAGTCAGCACTTCAACAGTCAGTCTTCAACGTCAGTTTGGATGTGGCTCGAGTATCATCTGCCGGCACCCCAACGATTCTTCCGATTCTTCATCAATACCCTTTTGAAAATCCAATGATGATAAGCGGCGTTTTTCGTTCCATCGAAAGTGAGCACTGATGGATCTTCTGAAATCTCTCAAGAATCTAAAAAATCCTCAATGTTTTTTGTTCTTCATCGAATCGAAGATTGTCATGTCATATCAGTCTCCTTCAAACCGCTGGAATTTCGCAAAGCGATTTGAAAGTGCGCATCTCATTACAACAGTTTGATTGATTTCCATCAACATTCCAGCGGATTTTTGCAACAGTATGTCATATCAGTCTCCTTCAAACCGCTGGAATTTCGCAAAGCGATTTGAAAGTGCGCATCTCATTACAACAGTTTGATTGATTTCCATCAACATTCCAGCGGATTTTTGCAACAGTTTGTTGTTGGGATGAAAAACGCAGCCAATTTCTGAACTTGTTTTTGTTTTCTATGACCTTCTCTGTTTGCATCATGCCATAAACAGAGACAATTATGGGAAAGAATCAACTTTAGCAAGTTCAGCAATACAAACGAATAGGCCTCAATATTAATCATTTTCAAAACGACTTAGGATCTTTAGACAGTGTCACGTTAACTATAAAGTTGTTCCATGTCAAGTCAAGTGTTCCTTGACTTGCTGTTGCTGCTTGTTCTGTGTCATTGTCTTGTTGAATTCACCAAACATTTCAATAATAATAATAATGAAAGTTTATATTTCCTCATAAACAAATCTTTGGAAGTCTTGAATAATGTGAGGAGCCCATAGATTGTGAGTTGGCATTCCAAAGGTGATGATTCAAACTGCAATTTGAGAAAGAGAATTGTCGAAAATGTTGGATTCTTCCCCTGAAGATGAAGACTTTCCAGGTCGTCTTCTACACCAGGTGATTAACGAATTAAACATTGAAAATCAACTAGTCATTGATTCAACAATATGGGGCCAGTTATCTTACAAGTCTCACTGATTTTAGGCTGCCCTATGGGACAACACAGAATTGCTAGAAGACCTCCTGGCAGGGGGTCAACAGAGTTTTATAAATTCTCAGGACAGCTGGGGCAGGACCCCTCTACATGCAGCAGCTATAACTGAAAAGTCCAAATGCCTAGAGATTCTCCTCATTTCTGGGGCAGATCCAAATATTCGTTGTGGGCCAAGAGGAGAAAATAAGGTACTTATATGTAGTACCTAAATAAGTAGCAATCATGTAGCAATGGTATTCTTAGCATAATCAACCCTCATATTATAATAGTGCTATAAGTATGCCTACTATATATTATAAGATATATGATTTTCAGGAAATAATTAATATTTATATGAAAATGACAAGAATTATTGTGTACATACATCAAATTATCATTATTTTTTGTTTTAGACTCCTCTACATTTGGCTTCAGAACATGGTCATTGCAGAAATATCTCTACTCTTTTGCAATATAATGCCAATCTCCTATTAGGAGACTGTAATGGCATGACTGCTACTGATTTGGCTGATAAAGGTGGTCATATGGATTGTGTGAGTTTACTGAAGGAAGCCTTTGGTAAGTCAGAGATTTTTCAAATATCACATAATTATTGCAGTTCATCACCTTCTTAGGATATATTCTGATACCATCAGATTTTTTGTCAGTATACATAATACATTAATACACATGGAATCATAAAAACTATTTCTCTTATTGGGAATGGATTCAAAATATTTTCTCAGTTTTTATCATTGTAGAGAAGCTGGAGATTGAAAATTTACAAAAAAATGTTTTTTAACTCAAAAAACACAGGTTCAAGAGTGGTTTAATGATTTTTTGTTCAACAATTTTGAATATGTTCCACTTTTTTGCAAATACCATTCTCAACAGTAATAGCAATATTACTTAGACTTTGACTTAATCATATAGGTATTTGCCATGGTATTTGTTCTATAGAACATTAAAGTTTTCCACAAACTGTATTTTTTATGTACAGATTTATGTTTTTTTGGATAGAGGATTTAAAAATCTATGGAGACATATTTAATCAAAAAACTATGTTGGGCCTTATTTCATTTTCATAACTGATTGCATATTAATATCAATCATTCATATCCCAGTTCATGTCAGTTAAGGAGTTTTTCGGGAATTTGCGTTTTTGAGAAGTGGCTGAAACTCACTTTTTTGGTAAAAATGCATTTGTTTTCAATATTTTGGAAATGTTTTTTTTTATGAACAAAGAATTTTTGCCAAAAATATTAGTTTTCCCACTTTTCAAAATATGCACATTTTCACTAAACACCCTGTAACTCTGAAACGATGATGAATATAGATATGCGGTGTTCAATTGTTTAGGCTCTGTATACGTCTATTTGAGACATGAGCAAGTAGAATTTGCGCTTGGTTTGAGGGAAATTAAATCTCCTGATTTTTGTGATGTAATTTTGAGCAGTAGGTACAGGGTTATCCATCTGGAAAGTATTTACATTATTTTTTATCCAGTACAAACAAACGATATGCAGAAGTTGAATGCTGCAATGAGGCCTTTCCACAGCCCTTATCAGAAGTTTTACAGGGTGATCCCTAAAAGCGTGACAAATCACAAATTGTTTTTTTTTTCAAATGGAACACCCCAGAAAACCATTTTTCTCTGATTAATTGGTGATCACTCAATCAGTTTGGGAATGTAATCAATAATGATGGAATTTACAAGTCTCACATATATCTTTATCCATGGCTAACATGATATCTGTAGAAGCCTAAACAAAACAATGGTTTTCTTGGGTCAAAAAAGTGAAGATGATGAAGTGAAGTCATACTGTATATATATATATATACTTTCTTGATAAAAGAAAATCAAAGATTCCGAAAAAATAAAGAAAACAGGGTGTTTCATTTAAAAAATCAATTTGTGGTTTGTCCCTCTTTCAGGGAACAACCTGTGAAACTCCTGATAAGGTCTGTGGAAAGGCAGGTTGATACATATAGAGGTGGGCTTTCTTGATGGATAACCCTGTAAGTTGAATCGATCGTTCTACTCCTAAATAGTTGAAGTGCTACATGTATGATTTAACATTGTAATCTGTATCTTGATAATGATAATACAATAATAAATATTATCATCTTCTTATTCCTATTATTGCCTGAAAACCAGCTGCGGAAAATCGATCATCATTTCAGCACATAAGCGTACGTCTCGGCATACTTCTAATAAAAAAAAATTCTTCAAATAGTCTAAATTGCCATCAGGAGGAATGAAAAAATATGGGGCCCCAGAAGTAGGAAGAGATACTGTAAAAGCTCTGTAGAAAGTAAAATTGTTCTCTAATTTTTTCCCATCTCATCAAATCGATGACGTACAGGGTGATTCACCATAAATATCCCCCCCTCTAGCTAGCTCAGTTATTTTCGAACGGATTTAAAAATTTGAAAAATCATCTAAAATGATTTTTCAGAATTTTTTTCCGTTGCATCAGAAAATACAGGGTGCTCGGAACAAACGATCTACAGAGTACTACTTGATTTTTTTCAAATGGAACACCCTGTATTTCATTGTATTTTTAGATTCTCCCTGAAGAGCTGATTTTATCAATGCATCACACTTGGGGTCTAGCAGGAATGATTACAGAGATATAGGGTGTTCAAAATCTAGATTTTTAAACTTCAGAATTTTTTTGGGTCGAAACTTCATTATTGGTCAAAACGGCTTTAATGTCCCTATCTCAACTTTTGATTTACTATCTACTGACATTTAATTGGAACATATACAGTGTGGTTCAAGATTCAGAATTCTGATCACCCTGTATCTGTCCCAATTATTAAATGTCAGTAGATAGTAAATCAAAAGTTTAGATACGAACATGATAGCCGTTTTGACCGATAATGAATAGTTTCGTCACAGCAAAAACCTGAAGTTGAAAAATCTCGATTTTGAACACCCTATATCTCTGTAATCATTTTCGCTAGACCCCAACATTGAAGAAATCAGCTCTTCAAGCTCTTCAGGGAGAATCTAAAAATACAATGAAGAATAGGGTGTTCCATTTGAAAAAATCAAATAGTACCCTGTAGATCGTTTGTTCCGAGCACCTTGTATTTTCTGATGTAGCGGGAAAAAACTCTATCAAAAATCATTTTATATGATATTTCAAATTTTCAAATCCGTTCAAAAATTAGTGAGCTAGAGCCCTAACAACACAGGGATGTCCTAGGTACGTCCCTTTTTTGTCCCGCGGTACAAGGACATGATGTCCGCCCGGTACATCCCTAGGTTATCCTATTCGTGTCCCTGGAATATCTGATATCCATTCACATCAGAGTCTTTGAATTTCATCAAAATATTGAGTTGAATTTTTCCTGAAAATGTTTGTTATTCTCCCGGAAAATAATTTTAATGAAAATAAAGAATATAGTCTGTTTAGTACATAAATCTTCTGAAGGCATATTAGCCAATGGAGTAAGGTGCGTGCATGATAAGCTAAAGGTCCCGGGTTCAATCCCTACTCGACCTGAAGTTTTCTTTCTTTTGTCGAAGGAATGTCCCTAGATAATCCTTGGGACGTCCTAGTCATATCCTTTCTTTGTACTTGGTGCATCTCAGGGACGTACCAGAAGGACATCACTTGGATGCCTTTTTTGTCGGCCAACGGATGTCCCTGGGACGTCCCTAGTATGTACTATGTCCCGACAAAGGATATCCCTGGGATGCCAATGTTTGTTTTTCACCCGGAAAATAATTGTAATGAAAATAAAGAATATAGTCTGTTTAGTACATAAATCTTCTGAAGGCATATTAGCCAATGGAGTGAGGTGCGTGCCTGATAAGCCTACTGGACCTGAATTTTTCTTTCTTTTGTCGAAGGAATGTCCCTAGATAATCCTTGGGACATCCTAGTCATATCCTTTCTTTGTACTTGGTGTATCTCAGGGACGTACCAGAGGGACATTACTTGGATGCCTTTTTTGTCGGCCAACGGATGTCCCTGGGACGTCCCTAGTATGTACTATGTCCCGACAAAGGATATCTCTGGGATGTCCTAGTATAAAATCAGGGACGTCCCTGGAAAGTCCCTAGGATGTACTTGTGTTGTTATGGAGGGGGGGGGGACATTTATGGTGAATCACCCTGTACGCCACTGTCAATTCGTACTTAAGAAAAAATATTAAAAATATGTCCGAGCTCTCTGTTCATTCAAAATCAAACAAACCTTCCTTATCAAGTATCAAGTGTAGATAACCTTTGAATCATTATGATAGTTCACCGCGACAAATGTCCGACAGTAAGTTTGTTGCTGCCTCCCACCCGAAAAAAAGCGCCCATTCGATCGAAACAAAGTAGCGGCGCCACATCAAATTCGCGGTAATCCGTACTTTGTACATTTTTTTGGTCGAAAAATCATCGGTTTTATAATGAGCGCGTACAAAGCCATTGCTAGGTGGTGTTTCACTGCCGTATTGGTAATCGTTTTGGTCTACTTGATCCTTTTGTTGTTGAAGAGGAAGTTCCATTTGGACAGCTGGTCCGTACCCGGATATTAGCAATAAAAAACAATTTGTGAGTGTTGTTTTTCATGAAAATATCATTCGATCTTGTTGGCGAAGTGTCTTAACCGCAAAATATCCCATTACTTGCTACTTATAATACTCGTAGTCTTGCCCCTCAATGCGATAGCAGTTGTTATTGATTTTATTCTGTGACAGCACGCTATATTTCGACGCACACCCCTATACGAACAGCTGTTTGTATTTTATCGAAGGGTGCTTTGCCTCGTCTAGAAGATTTTGTTTATTTTTGAACGGATTTTTCAATTGACGTTTCTTTATACAGTAATCGCCTTTTTTGCTCATTTGTTCATTATGGAAAAACGTAGGAAAAGGCTTAAAAATACTGAAGTCGCATTTGACGCGTGTGTCTATTTTACTGACGATTTCTATATGTATAATGCAGAAACCGGCAAGTATTATTTTTCTATAAGGATCACTACGATATTTTACTCGCTACTTCATCATAAAGAAATGTCTTCTGAACACTTGATTGGACTTTAGATCAATTATCATCGATCATCTCTCAATATTGTTTTTTTGATTCAATTCGAACTTCGTTAAAAAACATGCAGAATACTGTATAGACCAATAATTCCAATACAAAACTATTATTTTTAATAAGTAGAATCAGTATTTAAGAATATTTTCGAAAAGTTTCTAGTTTTCAAATTTTTCCTTGGAATAATATTTTTTCATATATAATACCACAAGTGATAATATTTTGCCGGAAATATTCGGTGATTGTTACGACAGCTTGTTGCCTAGTAATTTCGTGAATGACATTGTTATCAAAACTACGAGCCGTAGGCGAGTAGTTTTGGATCAATGTCATGAGCGAAATTAGAGCAGCAAGCTGGAGTATGTCAATCGACGAATATTTCCAGGAAAAATAGTATCACGAGTTGTATTCGTATGACTATTTCATGATTGAATGAGACAATACATATAAGAAATAGGAAACATAATTTAAGTATATTCCAACTCAAACTGCGAAGAAGAACATAATGATAGTAATGAAATACAGAATTCAATTTTTTAGAAATTAACTACCTACTTATAGTAATTCACAAAGTGGAATGTACAATTTTGATGAACAGTATTTTGTTTATTATCTTGGAGATGGTTGCTCTCAAAAGAGTGTATACATTTGCTATCCAATTCGAACAAAATGAATTGAATTTATGTGACATGAAATAATTAAAAAAAAAAATTATTGTCGCCGACGGGCTTGAACCACCGACCTTCGTATCACCGCGCAACAACCCTATCAGTTGAGCCACATCACCTGGATTTAATTGGGCACAATAACTTGAGTGACTGAAGAAGATTACTTCAAATGGGAATTTGAATTCTAGTATTGTTGTCAGACCGTCAACAAATATGCAAACTTATTAAATTACACATGAAACGTCCAGCCAGAATGAAATTGTCTCGGCTTTCGTACAAAATGTCTCACTAACGCGAATTATAAGTAAATAAAATGAAGGTTATTGTCTCTTGTGTCAGATTTGAATACAAAGCAATCTTGACCAGACACGATGTCAAAATTTTATCGCTGATAAACGAGGTTTGTTGGTCACGTGTGGGTCAATTCAGCTTCTGTATTGGTAGAGCAAGTCCGATAAAATTTAATAAACAAAAAATATCGCTAGAATACAGAAGAAACCGTGAAAATGGTCGATTCTGATTGGTTCTCGAGATCAAGAGTGGAATAGTCGATATAATAATTCACCCTTTATATTGAGTTTAAGACTTACGGTTTGCCAGACACAAATTTTTGCATAATTTGCGAAAATTAGCAATTTGGACATAACAAATTCTCAGAATTTTCCGTGAAATAATATTTTTCCGATTTAATAAATCACCCTTATTTCTGAATCTCTATGACCTACGAATTATTTTGCTAGATCTGGAATAATTCGCAAAAATTAGTAATTTGCGGGGAAAGAGAATTCTCAAATTCTTTCGTGAAATAACTTTTATCCGTTATAATAATTCACCCTTGTTTTTGAGTCTAGCAAGGTTCGCCAGATACAAGTTATTTTGCTAAATGCATAGGCATTATTCACAAAATCTAGTAATTTGGCCAAAATTGGCATAGTCTAAACAAAAAGTCCTAGACCAAATCCAATGCCAGATGGTTTCCTTACGTGGTGAAATCAGTATTTTGTAGCCTAAAATAATTAGGTTCTATCTGCTTTCTTTCAATATCCTAACTATATAATTTTTTTTTTTTAGCGTTTATTTCATCCCAAAATACACACATTTTGTTTATCATGGTCCTATCTACATCCAGATAGAACGTATAATATAATAGTAGATGTGTCTGTTAGAACCTTGTTGAATCACTTGAATAGAAAATTCTTCTGGAACAAAGTTCTATCAATATTTTAGATGTTCCAATTGACATTTATTTGAGAATGGGAGAAGGAAAAAAATTAACTGACAAAAACTTCAACTCATTCAAATATACTCAATCAGAACAAACAATCTGATCGATTGAAATGAAACGAAATAGATGAAGTCAAAAGATCGCAGCACGATTCTGAGCAGCTATACTTGGCCCAGATAGTACCGTATTATTCTAGGGCGACAATTTATGAATTTTCAGGATGACCCAATAATTTTTTGAACCATATCAAGACAGCCCTCGCCCCATAAGCCTAGACGGGAAATCTTTGAAATAGTTCTAGGAAATCCAAATTCGATTGAATTTTCATGAAGCCTGAAGCAAATTCACTCCATAACAAATTGCAAAAAAATGAGTGTATATCTACCGGACTATTTGTTCGATTTCGATGTTCGAGTACTCATTCTCTTCAGAAATGAATAGTCTAAGATGACATCGGTACAGGTTGGAAAAAATCTGATTTTCTTTTTCTCCAGCGGTTTTTATAAATGACAATACTTTGGTAGAATCCGCCATTTTGTTTTTTTTTCATTATGAAATTTTCAAATATTCCACTGTATACTATAGCCTTTTAGCTATGAAACGACGCCGAGAAATTCGAATTCGGTTGAGAAATGATGAAACCACAAGGAAAATAAAAACTTCCGGTTTTTTTGTGACCACCCGATAGTTAAATCTACCTCTGATATAAATAAATTCAGAAAGGAATTGAAAAACTTGTTAGTCCCTTATGCGTTCTATAATGTTAATATTTGTTGTAAACATTACATTATATTATTATTATTTTATTTCAAAAACATGCTTAGTTTTGTCTACAAGGATTACATTCTTAAGTGACAATAGAGCATATTTTGATTTTGATTTGATACCTTCAAAGGAGTATACGAACGTTATTCTAAGACACCCTGTATTTTTGAAAAGGCTCAAAAATGCATGCCAGACCAATCTAACATCACTAGCAATGCTACCGCGTCTTTTCCTTCATGATACGATATGTTGTTTATCAGATGCCAAAGAGAAAGCAAGACTGGACATCCACGGGGCTATCAGGGACGCCTGCACTCGTGGAGATGTCAATTCGGTACAACAGATTTTGGTCTCGCTACAAAAAGATGCCGAACTTATCGTCAACATGGCGCCTAGCGGAGCTAACACTCTTTTATTCACGTAAGCGAAGAAACATCCGAAAATTATGGGTTCGTGAAATAATCTCGCCAAATACCACTCGAACTCAATTTTTATTAGTGAATAGAAAATACGTTTTTTATTTCTTTTTAGAGCCTGTCAGATAGGTAACAGAGATATAGTGAAGATTCTGTTAGATAACGGAGCTGACGGTAGATGTCACTCTGTTACGAAATATTCCCCACTGTATATAGCTTGTTATAGTGGCCACAGGGATATTGTGGAACTGTTGCTGATAAGATTTCCCGAATTAGTACAGGTGACAATTGTTTTTCAAATGGATAAGTTGACGATTTTCAAAATGTATTTTCTAGATACACACTGTAGAAAGATGGTTACCCATACACGCATGTTGCATAAATGGCAACGTTGCCGTTTTGGACTTGCTGTTCCACTTTCCTTACCCATCTAAGATGTTGAGAAAATATCGGTAAAAAAAAACTCCTATTATACTTTTGTGTTGGTCACACTGTCGAATTAATTTTTAGTGATAATTCGGAACAATGGGAATACCAAATGCCATTTGACGTGAACGAAAGGGACGCTACTGGGCAAAACATACTGTACGTTGCCTCATTGCTGGGCAACAAAAAATTGTTAGACGTGATACTCAAGTTTAGAGTAAAAGCTTCACGAATTGCTCAGTCAGAGGTTAGATCGAATTCCAGAATAATATTTTTCTTATATATTTATCAATTATGGTTTTAGGATGATGATTTGACACCTTGTTCAGAGAACAGTAAAATATTGAGCCCAACACGGAAAAGGATATCTGATGGAATCATATCTATCATGTCCAAATTGAGTTTTTCCAGAGAAAATTCTGCAGAAGAGTTGGACGTAAGAAAAAAGTCATACCCATTTATTTTTCTTTGAAGATTTTCATACTTCCCTCGGCGTTTTTTGTATAATAAAACTTGCTGACGTCGTTTTTCATCTTTCTTGGCCATTATTGAATTCCATTGGCAATATTTCCTTTTAGAATGACCCAAATACGAAGATGATATGCCCTTTGAAAATTGACATGTATTGCAACAACAATACAGAAACTGCTCTACATGCTGCTGTCAAAGGGAAACACTACGACATCGTTTTAGTCCTGCTCAAAAATGGGGCCAGTGCTAATTCTCTCATCAAGGCCTACCATGATATTAACGAGGTAAACTCCAAGAAAACGATATGGATTTGATATTGTTACAATATGAATGCGATATAGATGTGATATTGATGCGATATGAATGTGATATCCGAAGATACTATAATTTTAGTTGAGGGATTATTAGATAAAAATCATGTTAATCCGATTACCAAACAAGAGATTTTATACCTTCTGTGGATATATCTCAAACAAAATTACTTTCAATTTGACAACAAAATATATTCCGCGTCAAAAGGGTTGATTATGGGAAATCCACTGAGCCCTTTACTTGCTGATTCTTCCATGGATAACTTGGAGCGAATAATACATAAACATCCATTGATAAAACAATTTTTGTATTGGTATAGATACGTAGATGACGTAATAGTATGCTTTAAAGGAACCAATAGACAATTAGACACTTTTCACCAATATATTAATAATATTCATCAACATCAACATAAAATTCACAATGGAAATAGAACCATAAAAGTCAATCAATTTCTTAGATTTGACAATGAGTAAAATTAATGATAAACATGATTCTTCAATTTTCTATACTGATATCATTATTCAGAATAATTCAACACACCCTCATCAACATAAAATTGCAGCATATGATACAACGTTGATTTGATAAACAGTATTCTTTCTAAAAAACTCCATAATAAAGCTTTTCAAGACGTTTATCCTACCATCAAAAATAATAATCGAAATTATAGAACTTTAACCTATTTTGGATCATCAACTGAAAAATTAGCTTCATTTCTACAAAAACAGAACTTAAAAGTAGCATATAGAACAAATAACACGTTGGGAAGGTTTATCAAATATATAGTATGCTGCAAATGTATGGAATAAATTCATTTCAAAACAAGACGACTCCCGAAAAAAATCCAAAAACTAGAGTTCAGAACTTTTTTTATTGTGTATTTTTTCAACTAGACGACCCTTCGATGTTCAATTCTCAGTAGCAGACCTCTGCAAGATTCAGTTAACCGAATGATAAACCATTTTAATTTCAATCTTATTATGCAAAATTTTGACTGTTGGATAGACGATCGGTAGATCTTTCAAACGAGGTGTCACGTGACCCCTGTTTGTATTTGAGAAAATCGTCCATTACGTCATTACGCCAACACCAGGGACGTAACATCTCCCATATGAATGTCATGAGGTGAGGCTTCAAAAATTAAAACTCACGTGTTTTTGGAATTTCTTCAAATGTCGCCCATTTCTGAAAAAATTAATTTATTCCATACATTTGCATCATACTGTATATATATGTAATATATTGAGACAAAACTTCTGAATCCGAAAAATCAAGTGTATACATACTCAACTGTGGATCTTGTCCTAAGGAATATATCGGTCAGACAGGTCGTACGTTTAATCAACGCATTCATGAACATAAGATGAATTTTTGAAGAAGAAAACAAATTCAACATACGCCAACCATATGTTAGAAGAAAACCATAGTTTTGATGATAATTTCAAAATTCTACACGTAGAAAATGAAGGAAGAATCATTAGAAATCTACAAACTTGAAAATTCTAACATTTTACTTAACGATCAACTAGACTCCAATATTTCACCACTGTTGAATTTGTTTTCTTAGTAGGTAGTAATATGTATTTGCTATCAAGTTAAACCGGTACATGATATTGTCACGAGTAGAACATACGGTATATCAGTAATTTCGAACCATTAGGGTTTTATAAACATAAAGTAAATCAAATCATCCGTTGACATTGAATTATAAAAACTGACCAAGGAACTCTCATGAGAAACGTCTAATAAAATGATGTATATAAATATTGGATGTGAGGGTTCCGAAGTTAGTCTGGTCTGGGGCTACTCTTGACTTGACAAGAGCTCGTCGTGATGGTCGTTATAATGTAAGTTGTTATTAGGTCTTTATATTCATTGTTGTTTATTCATAATTGTTATCGCTACCCATAATGTTTCATGCTTCAATACATATTGATATCTTTGAATATAGTGTCGTACTTTCAGTTACCCCTAAATCGATATTAATCGATATGAATAGACTAACCATCTCTACTATATCGTGATATGGTGGAAACACAACTCTTTTGTTGTGACAATATTTTAATGTAGATATTGTGCCTATTTTCCGAAAATGAAGGTTTATCGAAACCTTTCCACAGGTAATTCTAATCCTTCAGGTTGGGAAAGTAGAATATATAAAAGTTAGGCAAGCCAAGGTTAGTTTATTTCATTGTACCAGTATTTCACATGATGAAGCTACTGTGTTAGCGTTTGTTTTTACATTTGCTATGGGTTTCTATCAAGTAACAGCCGAGTCAATACAGGAAGAAAAAAGAGAGCGTTCTATTCCTTTTTTTTTTCAGAGTTCGGCATGTTGTTCCGTCGAAGATGACACGAATTATGGACATTCCACCGGATTGGTGGAGGCTTGCCGTAACAGGGACGTTCCCATAGTAGATTTGCTTTTAAAATATGGCGCTAGAGATGACGATTGTAAGGCATTGTCAGTGGCTGTTGATAATAACGACGAAGCACTGATTGCCAAATTATTATCCACTAAAGTAAATTCTTGGCAGCCATCAATACTTTGATTTTCTATGGATATAGTTTTGGTTTTTAGGCTCATCCAGACCCGGAGTTCAAGATAAACAAAAAAGCGATGACCGAAAATGTGAACTCCTCCCAATTTACCATATTTTCCAATATCACTAACCTTACTTATTCATCGCTTTTTCCTAATACTCCTACTATGATCAATTGGCATAATCAAAAGTGCGATTTGACCCAGATAAAGACACAATGGCTGACGGATGCCGCTTTGCATTTGAACCAGAAATTGAAACAGAACCCTAGGAATTATGATATCGCCCTGTATGCGATTACCAGGCTGGATATATCCAATAACTGCTTGACTTCGGTTCCTCTAGCTGTATTCCAGTTATACAGTTCAAGGTAAATTTGGGAAAACGATCTGGGAATTACCTGTGGATTCAGAAGTGTTAACGGATTTTGTAATTAGGGTTATATTTCCATCCAGATGTCAAAAACCTAATGGAGGTATTTTTGGAAAGAACTGAAAAATATAATAAACGCAAACATTCATAGAAAGAACTTCCATCCACGTGCACTTTTAGAGTCATAATTTTTAATGGTTTGCTCGACAAAATTTCGTTATCCATAGGAATTGAAAAACTCCTTCAGAGAGACACATTCATTGAAAAAAAAAACATTCACCATTTTTTGAAGCTCTTCATGCAACATAAAGTAGGTTCTAGATACTCCCTCTGATTTTTACCTGGAAAATTACAGATAAATGTCCATCCAAATTTCAAAAACCAGTTTTGAGAAAAATTCTGAAGAATTTCTTTAAACTGCATTACAGGTGTCTTTTACGATTTTTTTAAAAGCTTATTATGACATTCACGATGAGAGTTTGCTTTCACCACCTGAAATATTTTAGTTCAAGTTACTTCTTACTGGAAACCTTCAATTTATAGCTACTATTTTACTGGTCAATTTTATACCATCAAAATTCAAAAATTCCACTGCAACTTGAAAATGTCTTTAGAATGCATGTTCTCTTCTATAAGAAGGGATTTCTCAAATATTTTCAATCATTTACCGCGATAATTGTCGTTTTCACCATTTCTGTAATATAGGTACTTGAACATGGCCCAGAACAGAATATCTAAATTGCCTATACCAGTGGCGTCGCCGGTGAAAAAAGGATACAGAAAAAAACTAGCGAGAGAAGAAGACCAAAAGTATTGTTGCCCAGTCTTGGAAGAACTGTATCTGCAAGACAACAGATTGGATCAAATCCCAGAGGCGATTTTCAAACTACCCTCGTTGGTTACCCTCGTCGTCTCCAATAATAAGTTGCAGTATTTGCCGTACAATCTTTGGTTAGCACCAAAGTTGAAAGAATTGAATGCCTCCTTCAATTTGTTGAAGGAATTGCCATCAGAGGTAGGATATCAAAAGCACACAAAAATGTACTATTTGCAATAGATATCGGTTGCTTTTGAACGTTCTTGTGTTGGCAACAATCTGTCATTAGCGTCATTAATGTCATCAATGTCAACTATCATTGCTGTCATTGATACTGAGACATTCAACTACTTATCTGCAATTCTTCATGAATATAATTTTATTTATTATTTTATCAGTGTGTAAACGGGTTACGTGTTATGAGTTCATATTCCACAGCACCAATATTTTTGGCACTGACATTGATGACACTAATGACAAATTGCTGCCAACCTAAGAATAGGCTCCAGAAGGTACAACCAATAGTTATGATGATTGAATTTTTCAATTTTTTCTTTAGAATAAGGAGGATCTTGACAGAATGAGTGTGAGCTCTAGTGACAGTCAGCTGTCATGTCATACGGAACCGGACTCGGAGTCTGAGCTCTCGGACTTTGAACTGGTGACCAAGTTGAAAGTTTCAGAGGAAGGTGTACAATCTGTTCGATACAGAAAAAAGGAACGTTCTTATATGTAAGTGTAAACTCAGATTCGGCATAACTATTTTCATATTGAAGTCAAGCTATACGAACTTTTATTCTTCCAGGACACCGATATTTTTATGTTATTACCTTGAGAAATTCGGTTTTAACACGAGAAAACTATTAGTCCAATAAAAATTTGTACCTTTTTAGAATCCACACTGCTAAACTCAACAAAACCCTCCAATTAATGCAGTATTTGCCCATCTGTTGAGATATCGTGTTGAGCCGGTTTTTTTTTACCTTGAGAAAACACTTTCCGATAAAGTTGTAGCTATCTTCACGTCATTCACACAAAAATGACTTTTTCTGCGTTCATCTATCATTTGCAGTTCACGATAATCAATGAAAACAAGACACATTCCTTAATTCGTACCCGAACCCGAAAATTCTGAAATTCAATGTCTGTTCACTAGTGTATTCCAGATAAGAATGAAGTAGTTGGCATGGATAGCAAAGATCATTACACGCTTTATTCTTAACTGAAATATACGAATATCTTTATGAAATGTTGATTTTTGTGTAAATCTATTCACAATTGATTCCTTCATAGCCAACTGGATTTGAGCAAGCACCACATCTGGTCGAAATCCGTCGAAGTCACCGAACAAATTCTCCACAACGATGACAACATAACGGAACATTGCTCCCAACTATCTTCCCTCAATCTCGCTCATAACCTCTTCACCAGCATTCCCGTCGTTCTGCCTTGCCTGGCTGTTAATTTGACCAGGCTCAATATGGCCTTCAATTCGCTGAGATCGATGAGTCACATCACCGGCTATCCGAGCTCGTTGAAGCAGCTGGATTTGAGTCATAACGAGATCAGCGTGTGGCCGAGTCTGCCACAAGTCGAGGCTAGAGACGACATGGAGCTGGCGAATTTGGCGTGTTACGCTGCTGTGGGAAGCGGCTTCAGAGGGAAAACTCCGGATATCGTCGGTAAGTGACAATGAGTCAATTTCATCAGGATGGGCCGAGGAAAAGTCTATACAAACGAGCGAATCCTAGGATGGAGCAGGAGTAACCAAAAGGGCGATGCAGAACATCTATTTTCATCATATTAGGGACGGTCTTTTATTCACCGGTGGCTATATATTCTTTGGTGGATTAGAGTTTGACGTAACCACGCGTTCATTTATTACTGTTGTGTCAAACAAAATTGCAAACCATTCCACCGATGTACAGAGATGGTGACAGCGACAGCATAACCTCAAAAAACTAAAAACGAAATGTTGGGTTTGAAAGCTGTTTGCCGTTTGCCTGATAAAAAATATGGATGAATTAATTGAAATCAGTCTAGAATATGAAAATAAAAGAATAGCTGCATTATTGACACCAACAAAAAATGAAGAAATATCGAGTGGTAGGTACTTTTTTCTTTCCCATCATGAATTATGGGCTACAAAGGTGTCAAATATCAAAAGAGAATATAATCGTTGCCTGTGTCAATCATTGTATTTCTATCAAATCTAAAATTGTTGAACTGTTAATTATTCAAAAATAAAAAGAACAACTTCCTGGCCATTTTGTTTTTCGTACTAATTCAAATGACACTTGATTCGACAGTAGCTGTTGCCTACAAATACAATAATATCTAACCATATCAACTTTCAATTAGGTACTTGTCAATCTAAAGTGGTCAGTGTCAAGGCTAGTAGAGGTCTTGAAGGGCATTCACTGGTAGCTTTCAATTCTTTGAGAATTCAAGGAAGTTGGTTACAGTTGTGGCCATTGTCTTTGGGGGCTGTGGAATCGTCAATTTTACTTCATTTCATTTAATGATCCAATGAATTCGAAGAGTATAATTCACTGATTGGCTGCTACTGTCAGTAAAAGAAATAGCAACTCCTTAATATCAGTGTAACCTCTTGATGAATGAGAGAGGCCATTTTGAGAAGTGCTTATCCTCCGTGAGCACAGTAGCTTTTTGGTATGGAGAAGCCAGTTGAAAGGTTTCTGCACTGTTAGTGACTGATAGTTGCTATTCAAGTTTGGATATCATCCAGTAAAAATTCTTAAAAATCCAGTTTGAAACGTGAAAATGTCAATTGAAATGGCTTCCTATCTCTGATGTACTAGCAGCTTCATAATGCCAGTATTAAAAAGTTTCCTTCTCTCTTACTGAGTAATGGTTACTATTTCTGAAATAATTGTCATCTAGTGAAGCTGATTAGGAAGGTTGAGATAAACTGAAATGGGTTCTTTTTGTCGTTATGGTAGTATTACCAGCCCTTTAATGCCAGTTCAGAACATCCGTTAGTGATGTGATACCAACCGCTTTTACGCTTGTTGATGGTTACTCTGTTGCCCAAATGAATTGATAAATAATTGAGAGAAGGAGCTGGGATTTTTTGGGTTTGGTACAAAATTTAAGGAAACATTTTTTAAATATTTTTCTAGCAAGGAGACAGTCCAGATCGGTGAGACATAGCGTCTTGCATTCCGTGTGTTCCCACAGAAGACATTTGAGGTTAGATAACTTGCGGACTTTAATTTTGGCCGATAATAAATTGACCAGGATACAGTTAGCTACTGACGACGATGGAGATATTAGTAGTACCGATGATGAAGAATTAGATCGGGTAAGGAATTTAATGTGACAAGGGAATTTCGTGAAAAAAAATGTTTGTGGGTGTTTTAGGGATCTCAGATCGGGAAATCCAGGTTGATGTTTCCGAATTTGTCCATGCTGGATATCAGTAACAATAATCTGAGGGAGATACCGTTGAATATAAGTGATCTCAATAATCTGTCGGTGCTGAACATAAGTGGAAATTTAAGTATGTATTCATCATGTATATCATTTCTTTATTTTTCCAGTTGTTCAAATCAAAGTGATATTCATTTTTCTTCATATATCAGATACATTTCAGAGCAATATTATTTAGTTCAGAGGTCAAAATCTAGAATTTGCGTACTAATTCAACATTAGTTTCATATGTGTAATCATAACCATTCATTAGATTCTTCAGAGCGGATAATTAGCATAAGATTCCCTTACACTTGTCACTCAATCAACTTGATTTATTCAATATGCTTCATTACCGAATATAGAAAAAAATAAATACAAACAAACACAAAAACCAAATTGTCTAATGCTAATTCTGTATTCAAATATGTAATAATTGATAACCTTGGTCAGAGAAAAACATCATTGCTACAGAATATCTCACTATCGGAAGTGTAACACTTAACATGGTAATTCAAGGTGGATGGTAAATCTCCTATGGGTCAAGGTTATTGCCTAATGAGTTGAAAAATATACAGTGATGAAGTGAATTTGAAATTAATTTAGAAAAATACTGGTTCAGAGCACTTTGATTTGGTTTGTTTTTGTTTCAATGATTTGATAACCTATGATTTTTTTTATTTCTATAATATATCAACAGCAATGTACCTTGGGAGTCATAAAGACAATCAATAAAAATATGGTGAATAGCCAATGGAATAAAAGGCAGTATTTTCCACTTCAAGATTAGTTCAGTCAGTGAGTGATATCGATCACAGGGGACGAATGATTGTTATAGTGGACCGGATTTGCTTCACTCTGATTAATGATTATGCCATTGATTTTATTATAACTCAAACTGTTTTGTAAATCCACACGTGATCATATGTGAAATTTGGTCTAGTGGCGGTTTTGGTTGAGGGCTTGCTTGCTTGTTTGTCAATGATTCGCAATGTTATCCCCACCATTCACGATTTCATTCGTTAATCCGTGTTCGGCGTTTACTCGTTTAGGATTGTTGTTGTTACACTTTTCAATGAATTATGAATGAATCCTGGTGTCTATCTGTTGTTATTCAGTGTCTGATAGCGTTGCTCTTACACCTGCAGAACATTCTGTACCTACCGCACTTACATCTAATAATAATCGCGCTATTTTTAGACATAAACGAGCTGCCACCGCAGATGGGCCTTCTCTCCCGTCTTTGGAACTTGAATACTCGCGGTACGGATCTGCAGGACCCCCTAAAGTCGATGATCGACGGCAAAAAGTACAAAACGATGGACGTCATCGGGTACCTCAAGTCGGTTCTCGAAGATGCGAAGCCGTACGCTCGCATGAAGCTGATGATCGTCGGGGTGCAGGGCATAGGAAAGACGAGTTTGCTGGAGCAGCTGCGGCAGGAGGGAACGACGAGGAAACGGCCCGAGGTTAGTGCGAAGTGAGGTTATGTTTGGTTATGGTTGACCGTGATGCGTTCGTGACTCGTGACGTTTTGATATGCGATATGCATCAGGTGGTCAATGTCAAGGTTTGCTTCGGCTAAACACGTGGTGGCATGTGAACATTGCTTATACAGGGTGATTCATGAGGAGTGCCACATAGCCAAACGGGGGATAGAGGAAATAAAGACAAGTTGTATGTATAGGAAAAGATTTTTGGCCAGCTATAACGAAGATACATTATGTGAAATCCTAGTATAAATTTGGTGACCGATATTCTGGAAATTGTTAATCCCAATTTGCTGAAATCTCTATAGAAAAAATTTCATCGGATTCAGAAAGATCAGACAAAATGCCATACAACCTGCTCTACAATTTGCACGGCACACTTTGACCGGTTGAAAATTTCGGATACGAAACATTCAAATGAATTTTCAATTTTGACCTGACAGATAACTCCGTATACACAGTGTTGCCTAACTGCGGTAGAAAACTTCAGAGGGTGATTCGTTGAATTGTTTTTTTTTTCTCGAAAAATAACTTTTATTTTCAGCACTGGGCGAAACGGATGGGAAACAAAAACATAAACGCCAAAACTTCACGTGGCACTAATATGTCCACAGTTGGCGTAGACATCGGAGATTGGGTGTACGAGAAGAAAGTAAGGATGCAATCCTCGCACGGACCTGTCGTATTCAGAACCTGGGATTTCGGTGGACAAAAAGAGTAAGAAAAAATATAATATCAAATCCTCTGTCGAAGCTACAGACTCACCAAATACTCCTTGCTGAATAATTCTGATGTTTTCACACCTTCTTTCCACAAAAGGAAAATTATTGCTCTTTGAGATAATGCTGGGTCTTCCATGCTTTCACAAACAGTGCTATGAAAACGCGTCTATATCAGTCGAACATCTAAATGAGACCTGACCGACCCGTCGTTAATATCACGTGACTGATCACAATGATAAAAGTCATTGAATTTCTTGAGATAGAATTTGTGGATGGAATAATGATTTTGAACTGTCTACCAGAAATATTTCACTCAAATGAATCAAACAGTGATGTAACGCTATTTTCGTTGAATTATGAGCAATTCGGGTCACTCATTTTGAAGACTGTAGATGCCCTTGCCACTATATTTCGGGTTATATTTTATATCCTTGAACCGCATCGACCATCAAACAGTCCAGGCGATGTGGGCTCGGATCGGTCGGTCCTGATCTTCAACAAAAAAACGTTACCATTTGGAGATCGGTCAATGCGATCATCAATTAAAAACCTTGCGATCGAAGTGTGGTCCAAATGGTCAAAACTGGTCGGCAATGAAAAACTCCGATTGTGATCAATCACGTGACACTAATGACCGGTCAGTCACCGATCAGATCGCTCGGCAACGAAAATATCTAGAAGCAAAAGCGACATTCCATGGAAGAGGTTGATCAGCCTACTTTCTGCAGGTATCACGCCACCCACCAGTATTTCCTCTCGAAAAGAAGCCTATACCTGGTGGTGTAATGGCTGGTGAAAATTCAAGCGAGAGGCTCCAACTCCTCAGTGTTGATAGTCGGAACCCATTACTAAATCGGTTATACGTTCATTAGCGACAGAGACTCAGATATTGTTCATCAGAAAATCGAAGGAAATGGAGTATCCCCACCACTCGCGATTTCATTCATTTATTCGTGTTTGGCGTTTAGGATTGTTGGCGTATACTCTTTAGTAATTTATGAATGAATTGTTATTTGGTCTGAGAGTCTGACTGCTTCCTGCAGGTATTACGCCACCCACCAGTACTTCCTCTCGAAAAGAAGCTTATACCTGGTGGTGTAATGGCTGGTCAACTTCCAAGCGAGAGCCCCCAACTCCCCAGTGTTGATAGTCGGAACCCATTACTAAATCGGTTATACGTTCATTAGCGACAGAGACTCAGTCATTGTTCATCAGAAAATTGAAGGAAATGAAGTATCCCCACCACTCGCGATTCCATTCATTTCTTCGTGTTTGGCGTTTAGGATTGTAGGCGTATACTCTTTAGTAATTTATGAATGAATTGTTATTTGGTCTGAGGGTCTTACTGCTTCCTGCAGGTATTACGCCACCCACCAGTATTTCCTCTCGAAAAGAAGCCTATACCTGGTGGTGTGGAAGATACCGGACGGCCACCGAGGCATCAACGAGATCCTCCAATGGCTGGTCAACATCCAAGCGAGAGCCCCCAACTCCCCCGTGTTGATAGTCGGCACCCACTACGACGTCGTACAGGAGTTCAACCCGAACATGTCCGAGGAGTACCAGCAGATTATCCGGGACAGGTTCATAAACATCGTGGATGCGGAAAAGTGCGGTTTACCGAGGGTTCTGGACACTATCGAGGTCAGCTGCAAGACCAGGCACAACGTGAAGCTGCTGTGCAACTTGATTTACGATACGGTGAGTCATGTAAAGTTTTTCTTTGTGAAATGTGTATATCGCTACTTTGAAGTTGGGAACCAACTCCCGAGAAGGGTTTGGGACGAGCGGGACCTACAACGTAATCGAACCACTTCTAGCTAGGGCATTGAGGGGCTGCCAGGATTACAACCAAGAAACACACATAAAAATAATGCTCAGCCAATCTATCAACACAGTTGACGCTTTCTGAAATATAAGTGACCATTCTGAAATACAATTGATCCTTTCTGAAATTAAATTGACTATACTGAAATACGATTGATGCTTTCTGAAATTGAATTCACTATTCTGAAATACAATTGACGCTTTCTGAAATTAAATTGATGCTTCCTGAAATATATCTGGAAAAGGTGTAGTAGTGGAGGATCAGCGTCGAGAGATCACTGGCCGGCGCTTTTGCTTTCATAAGCATGGCTCGCTTTCTCCTTCCCATCGAATAACGATATCTCATGAGTTATGTTTAATGTTGGTGTCAGCTAGATCGATTTCGAACGAACCTTTTCCTCTTCAGGTGTTCAGCCTCCGGCCGGCGGGCAGCAAGGAACTGCTGCTCGAGCACAAAGTCCCTGCCACTTATTTGGCCCTCGAGGACGTCGTCAACGGCATAGCGGCCGAGAGAAAGGCGAACGGGCTGGACCCGGTGCTGGACGCCGAGCAGTACCGACAGTCGGTCACTGTGGAGATGCTGCAACGGTACAACAAGACGTTCCGGGATTGGTCCGAGTTGCACCAAGCGACGTTGTTCTTGCACGATAACGGTGAGATAGAGAGAAGGCTGAATTTTTCATTATTATATCGCTTCCATTATGGTTTTTTTGTTGGGAAAACGAGAATTATTATAAAGTCGGTGAATGCCTTCTGTCGAAGCAGTAACATCGAGCTGTCGTTTCCATAATCATTGTTGTTTCTTTCCTAGATATCGGATTGTGCTTGAATTGAAGCCAGGATACCGACTAACCACCTGCAAATCAATTCAGAACGAATGAGAATAACCCGCAATATCACATTTACAATGCAATAGGCTACTGGACGATAGTGCATGAATAATTCAAGTACTCTTCTGTATCGTTAGGGTTCGGAATTAATTTTTGCACGCGTTTTTTATCAAAATAATCTGTCTATTCGTTCTAAATTGTTGAATATCAGTGCCCATTTCGAACGTGTCGTCATGGCAACCATGTTTTGGGTTACGCCAGATACTTGGTGACGTAAGGTGTAATGCTGTTTCCCTATTGGTTAGATAATATTCTGTTCCCACCACGTTCCTACTCATGAAGCAAGGTTGTCCAGTCACCAATTCTAATCATGCCATTGAAAAAATTGTTATTTGTTTATCTCCCAATTGGTTGAGTTAGATTGGTTGATATGATACTAGATCTAGAGTCATGTCGTTGAATGTAACTACATCAGATTGAATGGTTCATTTGACCTAATCCAAGATATTATAGTTATTCATTTGTGATTTTTTCGAGCAACCAGCATGTCAAAATATTTCGTGCAACTCCATAACAAAATATCATAATATAAATGGTGGCTGAAGACTTGGCAACATGTTCTGAATGCTAAGAACTGACAAGACAACGCCCACTATTCTTGCGGTGTTGTCACGTTTACCTGACCAAATGTCCTCTAGTGTGAATTAATATAATAATTATCTACACAAATGTATTATAAACAATAAGCCGTCACGATTTAGTAAGAAGAGGCAGACAATAGCACAGCTCAACGCCCATCAATGGGTGATATACCCGAAGCATTGAGTTTTCACAGTAGTCAGCAGACCGAGAGCAGCTGATGAGGTCTGGTGGGTCGAAACAGTACTATCTCGCTCCTGCTGACAATAATCAGGGTAACTCTGTCCATCCTAGATCTCTTATTTATTAGATCTACTACAGTTCTCAGCACACTGAATGGACCACTCATAATTTGACTCTTTTTCGGAATACCTGTATTTTTTGAAAAAATTGACCGATCTTCATGCGGTTTTCGATATCAGATGTGATATTTCATCGGCTTCAAAGAGAGCTAGAACACTCTGAAAAAGTCCGCAGAACAAAACTTACACAGGGTGTAATGTGCAACCATTACACTATGGTCTACATTTCCAATGCTGCCAGAACTCGAGAAATTTTTTTCTGATCAAAAGTCACTCATATTATGATACACTGGGACCTCATCTCGGGACGTTTTTGTGATTTCTCCTTAATTGACCATTGGAACAAAAATTCAATATTTTTTTTTCGAAAGTCTTGCATTTCTTGAATTTTTTGTCTAGAACTCCACTTGAGATGAATATTGGGTAGAACTGTTCTCATGTTTTGTGGAGTACAATGAAAGACGAAAAAAGCACCATTGTGGGATATACAGGGTGATAAGAAAATAGGACAAAATCTCATTTCGGTAAAAAAAATCAAAAACGGTGACTAAAACTGATTATGAGTGGTCCATTTAGTGTGTTGAGAACTGTAGTTCAATGAATATTTCTTGAGTTCTCAATCGTGTTTCAATATGTGATTACTGTGCTATTCGGGTCGATTCTGTTTGCAAATAGCAATATGGTTGTAGATAAGATATTGCTATCATAGCAAGATTCGAAAAAGTGGAATTCTCATCATCGATTTTTGGCAATATGATCTGTCGATTTCAATGACATCTGGTCAGCTTTCTTGCTATCTCGGCAACATCAATTTTGTGCTTGCTATCTTATAACAATTAGGTAGTGGATTCTTTGTTTTTGCACTACAATTTCTTCCAACTGTATGAAAATTCAGAAAATAGTGGATTAAAAACATATGAGAGTTCAGTTGTGTCACTGACTACTCGAAAACCTTTCCTCAAAGTTTCAATTCGTAGAAGAATTATTGAAAAACATATAGGATAGGTTCACTACTGTGACCAACTACTTGAAAACCTTTTCTTGAAGTTCCAATTTGTAGAGGAAATATGAGACTACAATTTCGGCATATCAGAGAAATTTCAGTTGCCCGATGGATAGTTTATCAAGCTATTTTGCTAGAATATTAAAAAAAAAATCACGATTTGTTTCATCCGGCTTTTAGTTGTTTTCTCATTTCGGGGACATGATTGATTACTTGCACCAGTCGCACAACGACGACCAGATTCAGCAAATACAAAATCTCTCGATTTGAACAATATAATTTTGTAAAATGTCAGCGCAGGACTGACTGATTTGAGAGGTTAGATAATCATGAACTCCTCTTCTTCATGAAATAATGGCAAAATCGATACCTAACACTTAAACAATGAGTTGAAAACAGTGTTGTCAGCTCAAAAATTCTCAATTTTTCAACAATATTGCTATCACTTGAACTTATAACCAGTCTTGCAGTTACTCTGCAAACAGAATACAGAACTTCATAGCAATATTGTTATATGTTATGATCATAACAATATTATTATCTTAGCAATGTTATAACAAGATCCGAACAGAATCGACCCGAATGTCTGCCTCTTCTTACGAAATCGGGACGTGAGTTGCTATTCGCAGTAAATTTTTTAGCCGTTTGGAAATCCTAAAAACATAGGATAGAAAGATAGTGGAGGGATGATTCTATTTGAAAAATAAAAAGAATAGTCCACTTCCCTATTTTTTTCAAATAATCAAGCAGAGGGAATTCAACTTGATCCCTGTTTTTTTAGGTGTTCTGCTCCATTATGAGGACGCAACCCTCAAAGACCTCTATTTTCTCGACGCCCAATGGCTGTGCGATATGTTGGCCCACGTGGTGACCATAAGAGAGATAAACCCCTTTGCTCGAACAGGTGTTATGAAACTGGACGATCTGAAACACATATTCAAAGCCAGCAACATCGGACCCATAGATACCAGAGGTATGTAAGGTGATATTGTATGGATGTCAATGTTTTTCAGAAAAAAAAATGCGAACATGAAATGGTTTATGGGAATATCACTGGAACAAACAGTTTCAATTTATGTTGGCAGTAGGCTTATAGGTACTGGTCGAAACAATTTTTTTCCTAATTGACCTAAAAATCCCAAAAAATTCATAGACACTAATTCAGACCCATAAAGAACGAATTTGATGTCAGATTCGAGAAATACTCGTTTCCCTAAATTTTCAAAATCAGCAGTTTACGCGATGCAGTAGGCTTATACTGGTCGAAAAAATTTTTTTTCCTGATTGACCTATAAATCTCAACAAATTTGTAGACACTAATTCAGACCCATAAACAACGAATTTGATGTCCGATTCGAGAAATAATCGTTTCCCTAGATTTTCAAAATCAGCGGTTCACGCGATGCAGTAGGCTTATACTGGTCGAAAAAAAATTTTTTCCTGATTGACCTAAAAATCCCAAAAAATTCATAGACACTAATTCAGACCCATAAAGAACGAATTTGATGTCAGATTCGAGAAAGAACCCTTTTCCTAGATTTTCAAAATCAGCGGTTCACGCGATGCAGTAGGCTTATACTGGTCGAAAAAAAAATTTTTTCCTGATTGACCTAAAAATCCCAAAAAATTCATAGACACTAATTCAGACCCATAAAGAACGAATTTGATGTCAGATTCGAGAAATACTCGTTTCCCTAGATTTTCAAAATCAGCGGTTTACGCGATGCAGTAGGCTTATACTGGTCGAAAAAAAAATTTTTCCTGATTGACCTAAAAATCCCAAAAAATTTATAGACACTAATTCAGACCAATAAAGAACGAATTTGATGTCAGATTCGAGAAATAATCGTTTCCCTAGATTTTCAAAATCAGCGGTTCACGCGATGCAGTAGGCTTATACTGGTCGAAAAAAAATTTTTTCCTGATTGACTTAAAATTCCCAAAAAATTCATAGACACTAATTCAGACCCATAAAGAAAGAATTTGATGTCAGATTCGAGAAATAATCGTTTCCCTAGATTTTCAAAATCAGCGGTTCACGCGATGCAGTAGGCTTATACTGGTCGAAAAAAAATTTTTTCCTGATTGACTTAAAATTCCCAAAAAATTCATAGACACTAATTCAGACCCATAAAGAAAGAATTTGATGTCAGATTCGAGAAATAATCGTTTCCCTAGATTTTCAAAATCAGCGGTTCACGCGATGCAGTAGGCTTATACTGGTCGAAAAAAAAATTTTTTCCTGATTGACCTAAAAATCCCAAAAAATTCATAGACACTAATTCAGACCCATAAAGAACGAATTTGATGTCAGATTCGAGAAATACTCGTTTCCCTAGATTTTCAAAATCAGCGGTTTACGCGATGCAGTAGGCTTATACTGGTCGAAAAAAAAATTTTTCCTGATTGACCTAAAAATCCCAAAAAATTTATAGACACTAATTCAGACCAATAAAGAACGAATTTGATGTCAGATTCGAGAAATAATCGTTTCCCTAGATTTTCAAAATCAGCGGTTCACGCGATGCAGTAGGCTTATACTGGTCGAAAAAAAATTTTTTCCTGATTGACTTAAAATTCCCAAAAAATTCATAGACACTAATTCAGACCCATAAAGAAAGAATTTGATGTCAGATTCGAGAAATAATCGTTTCCCTAGATTTTCAAAATCAGCGGTTCACGCGATGCAGTAGGCTTATACTGGTCGAAAAAAAATTTTTTCCTGATTGACCTAAAATTCCCAAAAAATTCATAGACACTAATTCAGACCCATAAAGAACGAATTTGATGTCAGATTCGAGAAATAATCGTTTTCCTAGATTTTCAAAATCAGCGGTTCACGCGATGCAGTAGGCTTATACTGGTCGAAAAAAAATTTTTTCCTGATTGACTTAAAATTCCCAAAAAATTCATAGACACTAATTCAGACCCATAAAGAAAGAATTTGATGTCAGATTCGAGAAATAATCGTTTCCCTAGATTTTCAAAATCAGCGGTTCACGCGATGCAGTAGGCTTATACTGGTCGAAAAAAAAATTTTTTCCTGATTGACCTAAAAATCCCAAAAAATTCATAGACACTAATTCAGACCCATAAAGAACGAATTTGATGTCAGATTCGAGAAATACTCGTTTCCCTAGATTTTCAAAATCAGCGGTTTACGCGATGCAGTAGGCTTATACTGGTCGAAAAAAAAATTTTTCCTGATTGACCTAAAAATCCCAAAAAATTTATAGACACTAATTCAGACCAATAAAGAACGAATTTGATGTCAGATTCGAGAAATAATCGTTTCCCTAGATTTTCAAAATCAGCGGTTCACGCGATGCAGTAGGCTTATACTGGTCGAAAAAAAATTTTTTCCTGATTGACTTAAAATTCCCAAAAAATTCATAGACACTAATTCAGACCCATAAAGAAAGAATTTGATGTCAGATTCGAGAAATAATCGTTTCCCTAGATTTTCAAAATCAGCGGTTCACGCGATGCAGTAGGCTTATACTGGTCGAAAAAAAATTTTTTCCTGATTGACTTAAAATTCCCAAAAAATTCATAGACACTAATTCAGACCCATAAAGAAAGAATTTGATGTCAGATTCGAGAAATAATCGTTTCCCTAGATTTTCAAAATCAGCGGTTCACGCGATGCAGTAGGCTTATACTGGTCGAAAAAAAAATTTTTTCCTGATTGACCTAAAAATCCCAAAAAATTCATAGACACTAATTCAGACCCATAAAGAACGAATTTGATGTCAGATTCGAGAAATACTCGTTTCCCTAGATTTTCAAAATCAGCGGTTTACGCGATGCAGTAGGCTTATACTGGTCGAAAAAAAAATTTTTCCTGATTGACCTAAAAATCCCAAAAAATTTATAGACACTAATTCAGACCAATAAAGAACGAATTTGATGTCAGATTCGAGAAATAATCGTTTCCCTAGATTTTCAAAATCAGCGGTTCACGCGATGCAGTAGGCTTATACTGGTCGAAAAAAATTTTTTCCTGATTGACCCAAATATCCCAAATGATTCATAGACACTAATTTAGACCCATAAATAACGAATTTGATGTCAGATTCGAGAAATAATCGCTTCCCTAGATTTTTAAAATCAGCGGTTCACGCGATGCAGTATGCAGTAGGCTTATACTGGTCAAAAAAATTTTTTTTCCTGATTGACCTAAAATTCCCAAAAAATTCATAGACACTAATTCAGACCAATAAAGAACGAATTTGATGTCTAATTCGAGAAATAATCGTTTCCCTAGATTTTCAATATCAGCGATTCACGCGATGCAGTAGGCTTATACTGGTCGAAAAAAATTTTTTTCCTGATTGACCCAAAAATCCCGAAAAATTTATAGACACTAATTCAGACCCATAAAGAACGAATTTGATGTCCGATTCGAGAAATAATCGTTTTCCTAGATTTTCAAAATCAGCGGTTCACGCGATGCAGTAGGCTTATACTGGTCGAAAAAAAATTTTCCCTGATTGACCCAAAAATCCCGAAAAATTTATAGACACTAATTCAGACCCATAAAGAACGAATTTGATGTCAGATTCGAGAAATAATCGTTTCCCTAGATTTTCAAAATCAGCGGTTCACGCGATGCAGTAGGCTTATACTGGTCAAAAAAAATTTTTTTCCTGATTGACCTAAAATTCCCAAAAAATTCATAGACACTAATTCAGACCAATAAAGAACGAATTTGATGTCTAATTCGAGAAATAATCGTTTCCCTAGATTTTCAATATCAGCGGTTCACGAGATGCAGAAGGCTTATACTGGTCGAAAAAAAATTTTTTCCTGATTGACCTATAAATCACAAAAAATTCATAGACACTAATTCAGACCCATAAAGAACGAATTTGATGTCAGATTCGAGAAATAATCGTTTCCCTAGATTTTCAAAATCAGCGGTTCACGCGATGCAGTAGGCTTATACTGGTCGAAAAAAAAATTTTTCCTGATTGACCTAAAATTCCCAAAAAATTCATAGACGCTAATTCAGACCCATAAAGAACGAATTTGATGTCAGATTCGAGAAATAATCATTTTCCTAGATTTTCAAAATCAGCGGTTCACGCGATGCAGTAGGCTTATACTGGTCGAAAAAAAATTTTTTCCTGATTGACCTAAAATTCCCAAAAAATTCATAGACGCTAATTCAGACCCATAAAGAACGAATTTGATGTCAGATTCGAGAAATAATCATTTTCCTAGATTTTCAAAATCAGCGGTTCACGCGATGCAGTAGGCTTATACTGGTCGAAAAAAATTTTTTTCCTGATTGACCTAAAATTCCCAAAAAATTCATAGACGCTAATTCAGACCCATAAAGAACGAATTTGATGTCAGATTCGAGAAATAATCATTTTCCTAGATTTTCAAAATCAGCGGTTCACGCGATGCAGTAGGCTTATACTGGTCGAAAAAAATTTTTTTCCTGATTGACCTAAAATTCCCAAAAAATTCATAGACGCTAATTCAGACCCATAAAGAACGAATTTGATGTCAGATTCGAGAAATAATCATTTCCCTAGATTTTCAAAATCAGCGGTTCACGCGATGCAGTAGGCTTATACTGGTCAAAAAAATTTTTTTTCCTGATTGACCTAAAATTCCCAAAAAAATTCATAGACACAAATTTAGACCCATAAAGATCGAATTCGATGTCAGATACGAGAAATAATCGTTTTCCTAGATTTTCAAAATCAGCGGTTCACGCGATGCAGAAGGCTTATACTGGTCGAAAAAATGTTTTTTCCTGATTGACCTAAAATTCCCAAAAAATTCATAGACACTAATTCAGACCCATAAAGAACGAATTTGATGTCAGATTCGAGAAATAATCGTTTTCCTAGATTTTCAAAATCAGCGGTTCACGCGATGCAGTAGGCTTATACTGGTCGAAAAAATGTTTTTTCCTGATTGACCTAAAAATCCCAAAAAATTCATAGACACTAATTC